ATGTAGAAAATATTTTTACAATAAAAGACCAAATGCTTTCAACTATGTGTATCTCTGTTTGTAAAAATTTATCAAACAGCAAAGAAAATCTCACGATAAAAATTGAAGGCCAATCTGTTCAAATTCCTTAATAAGACGATAATATGTTTCTTTTCGTCAAAATTAGAAGAAAGAATGTCCGTTATACAGTTCGATTTTTCACGATCTTCGTGGCTGGCCGTGACTTTTTAGACGTTGCCGTTTGACTTCTCGCTGAATCGATAGGTAGATGTGTTGTGAGAACACGTGGGTGGTGATTGCATCAAGGACGTACCGGCAATTGGTTTGCACCGACGTTGATAGGTTCAAAAAAAAAAAAAAAAGGAGAATGAAAGGTTGCCAAAATGCCGGCTGATAGCGGCTGGCGTTGTAAACAATTAATTCGATGACAGAGTTGAACTTTCTTGCACATATTAGACAAGATAAATTGAAGATTTAGGGTATAAATCACTCATTTAGGTTTTGTATCGCAATACAAAGTAATAAATATTAATTGCGACTGTGTAGTGAGATGATCTTGAATCTATTTTTTTCATTAGAAATCCTTCCTTAATTAAGAGAAGGTAACTAGAATTTGTCCCTTTTATATTCCCCCCCCCCCCAAAAAAAATGTCATACTCATTGTCGTCGAAAGTCTATAAAAAATCTATAAAAAAAGAAAAGGAAAGAAGGATGAAAATAACGGGAAAAAATTCCCGACGCTCTAGACGCAACAAACTTCGTCGACGGATTAGAAATTAGGAAGAGTTACCCGCGGAGAATTGATTTTCCATAATGTCAGCTTTACGCGACACGCTCTAGCTACGGATTTATTATCCGGAAAACACTCACTGGCGATTTGTAGACCCAACATCAGCATGAATCCAACAATTATGGCAGTCAACTGTAAGAGGCCACTTTTCTCGTTAGCTCTTTCGCGTGCCAACACCTCGAAGAAAACCACGTATAGCAATGTCCCGGCGGCCATTCCCTGCAGTATGGTCGGCGTGGGCCCTAAATTCTCGCTGTCGTTCTTAAAATGACCGAGGGCCAATCCGACGGCGATGCCGATCGGCGTCACCATCGAGAATATCGTCAGATATCCAAGAGTGGTCCTGGTGGAAGCACCAGCGACGTACAGCTCCATACCGACGCAGAACGAGATCACCAGCTTGTGCGTGGCGATGGCAGCAGCTAGGTAAACGACGGAGCCAATGGAGGGCTCCAGGCCAACGGCCAGACCCTCGAAAATCGCGTGGAAGGACAGAGCCAGTACCGTTAGCAATCCCTGTACCGACGAGTTCTTCGTCATGGCGGCATGATTGTGCTCGTGGTGTTTCATTCTAGGGTAATTCGTATCGCGATATCTCGCGTTGTCCTGGGCGGGACTGTGCTGCGCGGAGGACAACTCCATGGAAGAAGACAGGACAAATATGGCAGGTAACACCTTGTCTTGCCGTTTGCCATCGCGCAGATCCAAGTCCAAGTCGTGTTCAAGCCTGGATCGTTTGCTCGATTCGTTTTCACTATCTTTCAGCTCGTCGTTACCTTCCTTCCAGGTGGATCTAGTTATGGTGGACACGGTGGTGGTCGAGCCGGTGTTCGTTGTTGTCGACGCGCCTGTTTGATTGTTGCACCTACGCACCGACACCGTCCTGTAGAGCAACGCCTCCGACGAGTCGGGTTTTCCCGTCAGCGCTGCGTGCACTGCCTCCTCAACGAAGTAGACGAGAAAGAATCCGGCGCAAAACAGCAGCTCCGACAGATTTAGCGTGCCAAGCGTAGGCAGTTGACCGTTCGTTTGATGTCTTTCTACGCTCACACGTACCTCCGGGGCTAGATGCAAGAACGTGGTGAATAGGAGGACGCCGCCGCCGAAGCAGAGCAGCAACGACGTCTGCAGGCCCTGGAGATTACACGTTACAATGTCTCTTACATTTGCCGGTCATCTCGTATTCTTTAAATGAAAAATCTCGTATCGTTTTTTTTTTTTTTTTTTTGTTAAATCATCGAGAGCAGAAGCTTGGTTAACTGTTATCGTTCGGTCTTACATTCTTGTTGTTCAATCGTTATTGTTAACCTAGCTTGCGAGGACAAGTTTTCTACGAAATTAGGGGTTTTTTTCTTTTTTTTCAATCGAATCGATATTGTAAAAAACTAAACTATTGAGCAGGAATTACTTAATCCTCGACTGATAAGGTATTCGATTACGACAATAACGAAATAAACGAAATAGGTATATGTGAATACAAATGCAGAATTGATTCGAAATTGTCGTGAGTGGACCGGATAACGTTTATCGAAGTCGAAGATCAAATAATTCAACGTTTTTGGGAATTTCCTTGTCGACATCTCGATGTCGCGATTTGAAACGTACTTGTGAGTTTGTTGCAGATCCGGAGATAACGCTGGAGGAGGAAGCGTTTGAAACGGACGTGGAGGTACAGGTACTGGAATTACTGAAGATCCCGCGATGTCGTTTTTGACGATGATTCATCCTGTAACGTCCGACGATCAACGGCAACATGCCCAGAATCAATGAGCCAAAGCCAAGACCGATCATTGCTCCTATCTTCGCTACCAATAAAACGGTAGACATTGTTGCTTCTTCCATCTTTATTCCTTCTTTTTCCTCTCTTATCACTTTATAGATAAACCTGAATTTAAAGAAGCTTCTCTTTTAATCTCCTTTATCTAAGGTGGTGAATGGTTCTGATCAATCAAGCTTCAAGTTTCTTTCCTTTCTTGCTTTTTTTCTAATTACCACTTCACCACGTCCTTCTCTGTCACGTCATCTTCAATTAACATCTCTCGTTTTCTGTTCTTCCCTTCACGTTTTATGCACCAAGCGTTTTATCGCGCTTCTCTCTTCTTTGTCCAGACGGTCAATCCGCCAACGATGCGATCACTTTTTCACTTAACACATGCACGAACCATTGGCGAACGACGTATAAACGAGAAGAAGTACGAATCGAGTTACCTTAGACATTAGTAAAACGACGTGAAACTCGAAGGATCCTCTCTCGTTACAGCGTTCCTCTCTTGGAAGCATTCTCTTTGCATCCTCTTTTCACACACGAAATAACGCAAAAATTTTAAAACAAAACGGGTGATTACAGGTCGAGAGATTCGAAGTTTCTTCAAGTGTTTACGTGCGAGAAACAACACCTGTGCGTGAATCACGGTGTCAAACTGTTACCAGGAAGCCACGCTGGTTGCTTCGTGTCGCAACCTTAACTTCACTTTTCCCTTGGAAAGCGCGGACGGATTGCGAAATGACTATCTAGCTGATCCGGATACACTCCCACCTAGACGCACCACTTAAACCACCCAAAGCTACAACACCGGCTGGTGATCTCGCGGGGTGATCATTGTTTCTGGGAATCGCGAGGAGGATTCGAGAGAAGGTAGAGAACGAGCCTCTCAGCCTCAGAGCGAATTGACGGCCGTCGTTCCACGCGCGGCACGACGTGGTGAATTGAATACTCTTCAGGACTGGTTGGCCACTCGACTCCGATCCCCTCGCGTCTTACGTCGTAGCCGCGCCGTTTCCTGCTCTCTTCCCCTTCTATCGGTCGCGCTTCCCTACCCGCGCAACTACTGATGCTCGTTTCTCTCCTTTCCCCGCCGTGTGTACACGGTTTGTGTGTGCTGTTACCACACACTGGATGGTTGCGTGCCACCGCCAGCCAACGTGTATGAAATGTTCCTCGCGCATGCATGAACCCGACGCGACTGTTTGGTGACCTGATATATAGCGAGCGCGGACTCACATGTATGGGCACACGTATTGACGATCCGCCGAGTAGAATGAATGATTGGTAAGCATCGCGTGCTTCGAGCGGTTTTTTTCTTTTCTTCCTTTCTTATTGATCGATGGATCGATCGACCGGTCGCAGCGAGGCTGGCTGTGGTGCTCGATGATTTTGGAAAGTAGATCGGCTTACGGGGGTAACCCTATCGAATCGATCGCTAGATCGGGCAACTATCAGAAGTTAGAGATAGTCGTTTCGAGCATGGGAATATTATTAGACAGGCGAGAGAATGAGATTTAAGAATTTCTTTTCTTCTTTGAATATTGC